CAAAACCTGTGATTTTCCGGAACTAAAAAACCGGATTTTTTCCTGATTTTTGTTTTTTATTTTTTTTTACAGGGTGGTTGTCCACCTATTTAAGATCATTGTTGCATCTCGAGCACGTTCGTCAAACCATATAGCATCAGTTCCCTCCAAATATCCTCGTACGATCTGTATCTTTTGTGCGTCGGTGATTCCGTTTGCCGCAGCTGCCACTTCGAAATCTCGGAGCCATGTAACTGGATCTTGGTCTCCTCCTCGAAACTTCCGGATGGAAATAATCATTTTTTCGGTTGCTCTGGCGGCCTGTGCTGCAAGAGCTTCTGTAAGTTGGTTCACCGCGTTTAAGACATCACCAATGTCAGCCATTTCTTTTGTTTTCGGAGAGGGGGTTCTGGTTGGTGGTGGGGTTGAAGTTTCTAGTTTTTCGGGTGGTCCCTTTTGTTCTAATTTGGCAACCTCCTCGTGAATTATCGATTCTTCTGAGCCGTTTCTCGGATAGTCTTTTTGTGTCTGCGTTTCAGTGTCAACGGTCTCGGAATAATGATCGTCGGAAAATTCCTCGTCTTCTTGATCAATGTGAATGTTTTGTTCAAACGCCCGAGTCTGTACGAATCATTCGTAGGCGGTATTTATTAGACGAACTTTGTCGTCTACTATCAAATATTCGTCAAAGAGGACTATATTCAGCAATCTTACTATTCGTTGTCTGATAATTGATGGGTGTACCTCCTTGTAATCGTATGAAATTAACTCGCCAAATGTTTGCTGCGTGATGCGATTATATGCACAAGCTCCTGCCGATTCAATCCAAAGCCAAAATTGTCGAAACGGAAGGGTAAATTCTCTTGGTGGTGGAAAACAAAAAGGGCAATATGGCTGTACTTGAGAGGAATTATTACTTTCAGCGTCGTGTTGTCCAAGATGATCGTTGATAAGTTCGCCAGTGAAAGTATATACCTCGTTCATCCACCATATTAGACTTAAAGACGTATATTTACAGAGACATGTTGATTTTCGCGATTCTACTTTTTCACGAAGAGATGTAATAATAAAAAAAAAATTATAGAAAATAATTAATAAAG